TATTGGTTCGATTATAGAACGATTGTAAACGTTCCGGAAAATTGATCAAATTGAAAATAGTTCGTTTGATTCTCGGCAATTCTCTTCAGCGGTAGGTGTTATATAGACCTAACTATTACTATGGTTATTGAAATATTGAATGTAAATGGGGTTTGCTTGCAAAACATCCGTGGACGAAGTCGCAGGTAACAGCTAGTTTACAAATATAAACACTATAATAGTTAAAAACCATTAAATATAAGTAATGTATTATTTATAGCGAAAACAGTTTTAATCAAAGTACAGAAAACACAATATACCATGTTATAATAATTAGAAATATGGAATTATATACAGTAGTACCTTAGGATACAAAATTAATCTGTTCCTAAACTGAGATCATATCATGAAAATGTCGTAAGGTGAATCATTTTCCACATATGATTACATGTAAAAGCAAATAATTCGTTCCAACATGAAAAACACACTCAAATTAAAGCTAAGTAGTACATTGAAAAAAAAAAAACTTTAGTAAGGAAAACACTGAAAAATGCATTTTGTAGTTGTAAATGTATAAATAACCATAATAGAATAATAATTGATTAAAAACATGTAGTTTTATTTGTACTTTACCTTTCAGGATAAATGACAGTGGAGGTGTAAATTGGTGGCAGTGGAGAGGGAGAAGGGAAATGATACTAAAACTTAACTTACATAACATAATGTAACAATAACTTAAAATTAATGTAACACTAATTTTTTTTATCTTTTCTGTTTTATATTTTTTAAAAAATTTTTTATTCACTGTAATAAGNCTTTGCCTACTTTTTAAAATGTTTCTAAAATGACTTAGGCAAATGTCATTAAACTGAGCAGCAATACGGCCAGTGTGAACCTTTTCAGGATGTTTCTTTTCAATAAAATCAGTCACTTTCTGATATTACCTCAAGACTTTCTTTATCGAGTGAGATCCTTCCATGACAAAGCAAACACGTGAACTGAGACCAATGAACAGAAGGAACACGTGATCATGGCAGTGGTGCTGCAAACTAATGTAATGTCGTATGGTGAGTTTTTGTTCATACCGTGGAGCAAAAATATGTTCAAATTTCATGTCGTATCCTGAAAATTTTGTATGCCTGAAACATTTGTATCCTGAGGTACTACTGTAATAAGAAGTTCTTGGCCAAAAAAATTGCATAATTTATGTAACACATTTTAAACAATCAAAATTAGGTTTTGGTAGATTGTTTGGAATTAAGAATGTCAAATACTTGGAATTTTTAATCTGATTATTTACTTAGTTGATTAGTTTTTGCCAAATAACTTAAACCAGTTATTTGGCAAAAACTAATCAACTAACTGGATACATTTTTAAAACAGGAAATAGTGCAATAAAATACTGTTAACTATAAAAATATTTTAATTAATAACTTAAATTATATAAACATCAAATTTGGCAATTAACACATTTATATGTAAATATTAATAATATTTCATGTAAATATTAATAATATTTAATGTAAATATTAATAATATTAATAATCAGTATTCAATCATGTTTATTGATGATTCAAAAATTATAGTTCAAGTTCACAACTGCATCTATATGCTTGGAACTGATTATTTCTAATTATTGTTTATACAATGGAAAGAAAAATTTCATTGAATATAGAAATTGGTTTTATTGTTAATACAGTACAATAAAGATTTTATAAATGTTTTGTGCATTTTTCTATGCTCTCAGAGAATTTCATTTTGTTTTGAATGTTGTCAGGTTTGAAACAGGTAATGAATATAAAACATCAATAATTACTCTTAATTTGTCAACAGGCATCTAGTCAATAGCAGTGAGTATTCCATCAAATAACAGAATATATGCTAATAGAAAATTATATTGTCAAAAACAATAATTTTGTCAATTATAGCGTGTATTGATTTTAGATAAAAATTCAAAGGTAATATTGCACTGAAAAAGTAAATAACTGGACATAAATAACCAGCTAACCAGTTTCGGTTATAAACAATATTACATTCCTAGTTTAGAATATGGTAAAAAACATTTAATAGTTAATGTTTCTAGTTTTTTTTTTTCAACTTTATGCATCCACGATATGTCAGAAGGGCTTGAAAATAGTTGGATGTTGATGACATCAAGTATTCACTTCAAGAAAGCATAGAATTACTCATTTTTAAATTTTGATTGAAAACTTAGGGAATTTGGAATTTTAAGAACTTTTGAAGAGATTTTCTGACAATCTCTGGAAAATTAATTCACAACTTTTCTTAGAGAAATATTATATTTTGTTAAAATCGCTAATTTTCTTTTAATTATAAAAATATTTTATATTCTGTTTCACATAAGAGAAACTGCAGGAACTAACAATTCCTCAAATTTTTCATCCAAATAATCTAATTACATTTGATTAAAACTGGGAGAGTATTATTCTTCTGAAGAATTTCTTTAGTTGTTAGTTATTTAAATGCTGGTTTAGGAATCTTTTCTAATCTTTCTCTTTAACCAGGTTAAACCTGTATTTTTAATCTTTATTTTTGTCATCATTAAACGATGAAAATCAAGAACTGGTAAAGTACCATAAGTTATAATGAAATTTACTATTTAAAAATTATAATACAATAGAAGTTCGTTAAGCCTGTTGATCGAGGAAGGGTTTTAAATTAATCCAGCATCTAAAGATACAAGAGTGATGCCGGAATACTAGACAATTTTGAATTTTATTGTCCTGTAGTTATATATTTGTATTGATATATCCTGGATACCAAAATATTTCTAAAATCTACAAAAATTGATCTAGTACGATTAGATTTTTTTAAAAATTTGTAATATTACTAAAACTAATAATTATTCATCTTAATAGCAAATTTATACTCTTTCTGATATCCTTGCCGATAAACATTCATTTTTTCCTCCCCTGTCTATTTTTATGAAATTGTGATCCAAAATATAATATAATTACAAATACTATAAATAAAGCAAATTTAATATTGTAACTTCAATTAATCATAACTAACAAAAACAATAATTTACCATCTTCTAAACGCAATCAAAATACGAACACGTGGTTACCATAAGACATCACACATTTGAACACGTCCTCTGGTGTCAATTTCTTAACCATATTTTTAATCTGTAATTTTTAAAACTGTTTATCTTAAACTATTTAAGTTATTAATATTTAAAAAAAATTCGTTAATTTAAAAATATTTCTAGCTAAAGTATGTTATTTCATATGAGAGGTATTTCAATCTAAAATAAATTGAAAAACTAAGATAATTTATTTTTAAAGTTATGAACATTGTAAAAATATTTATATAAATTATTATACCGCATTACGAAGGTATAAATTTCGGAGAAAAGGTGACCAGCCAGAATCTCCATATTAGAGAAGAAAGAAAGAAAGAAAGAAAGAAAGAAAGAAGGTATAAATTATCAAATCAAAGCCAAACCATTTTGGCCGAATGGCCAAGGCGCTTGTTATACGCCTTAAGCACCTAGACCTAGCGGCTGGATGGCCGAGCTGTCAAAGTGGCAGTCCACCGCGCTGGGGACCCAGAATCTGATCCGGACTAATAGAAAAATCCCCAGGATTATGTGTCGGGGTCCCGTCCCTCACTACCCGGCCGCACCCATAATGGGCTTGTTAAAAGTCTTAGTGCCCACAGGACGAAAAGAGTTTTAAAAAAGTACTTAGACCATCTTGGCCAGCTCGGGAGATGCTTGAGATCAAATCCGAACGATTCAGCAAAAAATTTTTTATTGATGGTCTATCGCAGATATGTTGGACCTCGTTTCTTCCACCGCCCCGCTGTGTGCCTGGCCGCCTCCTTAATAGTATAAAACACCCTGTAGAGCTCTCATGACAATGAGTAAGAAATTAAAAGCTATGGCATTGTATGACAGTTATTTGAGTAAAAAATTAGCGATTATCTGTAATTTCTATTTAAAAATTATGAAAGAGCGTCTATAAATAATAGGAGACATCGCATAAAAGCACATCATGATGATATTGGCTCATTAAGCCTATTTTGTTAACGAATTTTGAATAAAATATTTACTATTGTAGTCTTTCATACTTTAATTTAACTAAGGCTGCGTACATACTAGGCGTTTTTAAACGCGCGTTTTAAAGTACCAAGAGTTCTGCATAGGCATACACACTCAAACGCGCACTTTCGGCCAAGCGCTCGTCAAACGCGCATTTATAGATTTTTCTTAAAACGCGCGTTTTGCGGGCATTAGCCGAGCGCTTTGAGATATATGTGCTGCCATGTTACNGCGCAAGATTACTTAAGAGAACTAATCACACATGAATGCACGATATACAGGCTTTATTGTCTGTATATCTATCTCAATGTAAAACTTCCTTTTACTAACTTTTTACCTTTTACGGTTTTAATAGAAGTTTATTATACTCTCCTTTTATAATTTACAGCTACTTTATAGTCATTAGAATCCAGTTGTCACTATTATAACTTTACACATAACTTCTACTATCCAGATTGATAAAGAGGATTGACGAGAGGCTTATAGTCCGAAATACATTTACTTCACAATTAATAAAGCCTGTATCTATCTCTATTGTGTTCCTGTGTGATTAGTTCTGTTATCCATATGTGAGTTTGCCGACTTTCAGGGGGGAAATCAGTTAATCTCGCGTCAGGAAAGGGTATAGGGGCAGAGATGACACGTGTCTTTTCAAAACCGTTTATTATAATAGATAATTGGCTTACACGTATGGTGACAGGAAGTTGGTCGTCCGGAGGTTATTCGAGTATCCATCACAGTTCGTGCGTAAGGAGTTCGATACATCGGTTGTTCTTGCTCTGAGGGTTCGTTGATGGTCCCGAGGCAGAGACGATGATGGTAAAGTGGCCGGTCGAGTTGCGTGCACGTCGAAGTTGGGATGCGACGGGATAGTCCAAGGTGAAAGCGACACAGATTTATCGCGCGTTTGGATTGGCGAAGAACTGCTTTTCGACCTTAAAATTTAAGGTTTTTATAGTTTTTCTCCCTCGAATCTCACTTTTTGATTGGTCCTAGTCTCGCTTTCCGATTGGTCTCTCTTCTGTCTCCAGGTGAAAACCGAGATCGGTTCGGGTCGCGAGAAAGGTCCGTTTCGGAAAGACTACTTGACACCAACCTTCGACTCTGACCGGGAGAACAGTATTTTGTTAATAATTTAGATTATATTGAATATTTGTAAACACCGTAATAAATGAGTGCTTGTCGAATATATGTTTAATATTTCTTATGTACCGTGCATACGCTTTTATGTTAAAGAAGAGAATTATTTATTATGGTATTTGATATATGATTTTATTTAATATTGATTTTTAATAACGTAAATAGATGTATTATTGAAATTTGTATAATTACGAAATACATGAGAATTTATTCAAATTAATTAAAATTCTAAAACTATATTTACTAGTGATGCAATATTCTGGGCTCTATCTTGGTTTCGGAAAGTTTATTCTGAAGTAATTTAGAGATTCCATTTTCAATGCCCTCTATCACCATTTTCTTAGAATAATTAAACATAACATTTGCTATATATGTCATTATCCAGTTTAATGTAGCTGTGGTGCCTTTAACATTAGTAACTACAAATCCACCAAAATATAATACTTTGAATTTTTCTAAAATCCCAATTCCGTCTACATCTAATGAGGAAACAACTACAACACAATCGACAATAACATGATCTATCTTACCCTCGGCTGTACCACCACCCCACACAGGATAACCCAGTACCTGACCTTTAGCTTTATAATCCATTTGAAATATTATTCTGTCCACACCCAATAAACAACTTATATATATATTATCTTGATCGATTGATATTCGGCTGTCGCCCAATCTCGTAAGGTAAGAAAGTCCTTTCACGTAAATATTTCTTCCTTCGAATGTTGTTTCGTAGACGTCTGGAATGTGAATAGGTTCAACTTCCGTCGCTATAATCGGATCGTTTCTTAAATTTTCTAGCAACTGATCGATATATACATTTGCTTCTGCAATTTTTTCATCAATAACTATATTAAAAAATAGAATATTATATCACTTTTTCTGAAAAAAATATTTATAAAATATTATAATACGGTATCGTACTACCTCCAATCGCCGTCTTTGTCAGTAGAAGAAGGAAAATGTAGGAATAATTGGGTCTTCGCATATTTTAAATGTTTAATATAATTATACTAAAAAATAAATTACGGTCAGTATTAAACTGTCAAATTAATTAAAAGTTTTGAAAATATTACCTTATTACTTACTCGTTGTGAGGAATCGCTTACAATAATGCTTATTGGAAAAGCAGTATTCATATGCAATTAGTTACGACTGTTTACCAAGGTCAAGGAAATAGAGAACAATAGAATGTACTGTACCTGGAAATGGATTGTAGTAAATATCAAAATTAGTAATAAAGAACATCTTTTTAAACGTATTTCTTACTTTACAAAATACTAATAACAATCGAGACTCAAATCGAGTTTCGATTTTTGTCTCTTTCAGCAGTGTGAGACTGTTTAATCATACTCGTTATGGATTCGGCTAGGCCCACAATGGGGCTAAGTGACGAGGGACAAGGACCGACTTATCTGGGACAGACAACCAAAACCGTGGAGGGTTTGTATGGGGTGTAGAATAGAATGAGCCTCTTTTAGCCTTATACTTTTGGAACGAACCGAATAAATTACGTATAATGCTTCTTTATTAACCAAAAGTAGTTTTAAAAACTTTATTTTCTGTTAGTAAAAATAACGGTAATTTTATAGGGTTAGGGATCACTTTGAGCCCCTACGTTTTCTTAGGATCTGGGAAAGAATCACAGCTTCCCAGCTTAATCAATCGTTAATAAATATCATTAGAATTAAATATTATAAGTTTACCTAACATTTAAATAAGTAAACAATTATAAAATTGACAACAATTAATTATTAAACGTCATACAATTTAATATAATTTCGAAGTTTTACTTGTTCCTATTGAAACTCTATGAGAGGAAATTGTTAGTAAATTGGTAAGAACAATTTCTATTCAAGCATTTCAAGTTCAAGGAAAAGTAATTGTGTTTAACTGTCTAAGATTTTTATGAATTACTTAAAATTTCCCTTTTATTTCACCATTTCGAATAAAATTATGACAATTAATCTAAAAATACAATACAGTAAAACCTGTGTAAACCCGAATATATGGGTATTTTTTCGTTTAGGCAGGTTTCGTTTTATTCAGTTTCCGTTTTGGACAGGTTTTACTGTATCGTTAAAGTAATAAGTCAATAAGTAATACTTGTCTTAGTTTATGAGAGAAATTTCATGTTTCGTTCTATTTACAATTTCATTTTAATTTTTAATGATATTTTTGTACCATATAAATTGCCCAGAAGTTGTTTATAACACAGAACTTATCTTCAGCATTTTAAATAGTTATTATTATAAAAATTTTTTCGGAACAGACTACCTACCACCAATAGTTAGAAGTAGCGCAAGATTACTTAAGAGAACTAATCACACATGAATGCACGATATACAGGCTTTATTGTCTGTATATCTATCTCAATGTAAAACTTCCTTTTACTAACTTTTTACCTTTTACGGTTTTAATAGAAGTTTATTATACTCTCCTTTTATAATTTACAGCTACTTTATAGTCATTAGAATCCAGTTGTCACTATTATAACTTTACACATAACTTCTACTATCCAGATTGATAAAGAGGACTGACGAGAGGCTTATAGTCCGAAATACATTTACTTCACAATTAATAAAGCCTGTATCTATCTCTATTGTGTTCCTGTGTGATTAGTTCTGTTATCCATATGTGAGTTTGCCGACTTTCAGGGGGGAAATCAGTTAATCTCGCGTCAGGAAAGGGTATAGGGGCAGAGATGACACGTGTCTTTTCAAAACCGTTTATTATAATAGATAATTGGCTTACACGTATGGTGACAGGAAGTTGGTCGTCCGGAGGTTATTCGAGTATCCATCACAGTTCGTGCGTAAGGAGTTCGATACATCGGTTGTTCTTGCTCTGAGGGTTCGTTGATGGTCCCGAGGCAGAGACGATGATGGTAAAGTGGCCGGTCGAGTTGCGTGCACGTCGAAGTTGGGATGCGACGGGATAGTCCAAGGTGAAAGCGACACAGATTTATCGCGCGTTTGGATTGGCGAAGAACTGCTTTTCGACCTTAAAATTTAAGGTTTTTATAGTTTTTCTCCCTCGAATCTCACTTTTTGATTGGTCCTAGTCTCGCTTTCCGATTGGTCTCTCTTCTGTCTCCAGGTGAAAACCGAGATCGGTTCGGGTCGCGAGAAAGGTCCGTTTCGGAAAGACTACTTGACACCAACCTTCGACTCTGACCGGGAGATGTTGATGAAACTATGAAACCTGCACTCGTATTTTACTCAATTATTGTCTCTTCTCTGACGTTTTAGAATTTCAACGATCTAGCGCGATGTCTTTTGACCGTCAATCCTTCCCCCTTTTCCCGATTTTCTAATTTAGATCGATTGTATACGAGCACTCGTGTCAAAGTTCCATCTCTTGGGTCGGTATTTATCTATGATCCGGGAAACAATAGTTCCGGGAAGGAATCTGAAGTTTAGACAGGATATTTAAAACATTTGGCGCATAATGGAGGCGCATTAGTTATATCATTGCAGCAAAAGGTATAAAATATTTTAATTTATTCGTATAAATCGTCATCTTTAAATCCCGATTATCATTCAATGCTAGATATAAATTCATACGATGATTCATAAGGTCATAAGCAAAAAAAAAAGAAGAAAAGTTAAACTTCTTTCAGGGGCCCTTTAGGCGCTGGACCCTGGGCAAGTGCCCCAATTTCCCGGCTGTAACGGCGGTACTGCTTCTAATGACATGAAAACGAGAACAAGGGCACTCAAATACAAGTAAAATATGAATGATAAGCAATAAAATTTAAAAAATTAAGGTATAAACTTTGTGTTTAATTAATGAAAAGATTTGAAAACTCAGTTTTAGTTCAAAGTTGTAAGCATATCTGTTCAAAGTTGTGTCATATGCAGGTTTTGAATCTGTATCAAAGAATAAAACAAATTTTTATATTTATAAGATATTTTCAATCACATGTACACAAATAGAAAGCATAAAGACAATTATAAAACTTAAAATTTTAATGTTTAATTCCAATTTCAGCTAAAGGATTTCCAAATTTTGCATCTAGATAATAACTTCCCTATGAAGCTGCATTACTGTATGGTATTGCCCTCATCATTATACCATTTTTAGGACGAGTCATAAATAAAGTATGTTCCAATTCCAATTCCTATTAAAGAAAATATTAAAATTGAATAAACAAGAATTTTAAATATTCGAAAATTATGATTGAATGAAAAAGTACCGAATCTCCGTGTGGTTCTAATTTGAAGGATCTAATAAGATTTGCTAGAATCAATTTCATGATTGTTTGGGCCAATCTCACCCCTATACAAATCCTAGGTCCCGCGCCAAATGGTTGGTAAATAAATGGATCGATGTGATTCTTCGGCGAAAATCTTTAAAATTGAAAACAAGAGCTTCTAAGAATTTTAATTTATTTGCAGCATATTAATCATCGCATTTATTTTAATAATTTAGTTATATTTTATTTCAATATAAAATGTCACCTTTCGGGATCAAATTTCTCCGGATCTTTCCAGTAATTAGAGTCTTTTTGAAGGATAGGCACAGGAACAAGTACAACGGCTCCTTTTGGAATGGTCACATCTTTATATCGAAAATCTTCCTTACATATTCTATTTATCGCACTGAAAAAGCAAAAATTAAATTCAAGAACATAATTTATATAACCATAATAACATAAATAATAATAATAATAATAAAAATGCAACTTACACTATTGGCAATGGTGTTAAACGAAGTGTTTCCGATAAGACTTGATCCAAGTATTTTAATTTGACTAAATCTGTATATTGGATAGCTTCCTATTAAAGTTTTATTAAATATAATAAGTAACCCAAAAGTAATTAACAAATAAACAATATTTAATTTATATTTATTCAGAAAAATAACTAAAAAATGTTATAATTACGTGATTTTTAATGTTATCATTTATTTCTTGTAAAGCTTTATCTTGGGCTTCGGGATGATGAGCAAGATAATATGTACTCCATCCTAATGTATTGCTAGTATTATCATAACTAGAAAATTCAAATTTAAAGAAAACAAAAAACATTATATATTTAATAAATAATGTTTTTGAATTTAAATAAAATATAAAAATCACCTGGCTACTATAAAAATGGTGGCATTAGCACTAACTTCGTCGACACTAAGTTTTTTCGCTTCATATTCCGAATCGCCTTCGGCATCTATCATAGTCTGTAGCAGATCTGGTGGATGATACTAAATAAATATTACATAACGTGTTTTCTTAAATTTGGTCAAATTTAAATTAAGTTTTTAATAAATATATATACAATACCTCGGATTTTTTTCGAGAGTTGATTATTTGTTTACATGTATCGAAAACAACACTCACAGCTGGAAGGTTTAACATGTTTTTAATGGCGTCTTTAAACTGTCTTAAATACATTGGAATAGGTTCAAATTCCGGGAAACAAACTATCAGATTAGAGTTAATTAAGTAAATATGATTAAAAGTAATTTTATAGAATTGTATTTAAATAAAATAACATACTTGATATGGTACACAAAATATCAGTAGAATCAACTTCGAAGATAGTGTGTGCGGATTGAATGAACTTACTCGTTTCGTTATTTTGCACGTCAGTTTTAATGCCAAATGCTGAACTACAAATAACATCAAATGTTAATTTTTTAAAATATTCAAGAATGTCAAAAGGTTTTCCATTTAGTTTTTCAATTTTCTTCAGAAATATATTTATTGGATCCTCCATTAAAGTGCTCATCTGAAAAATTAAAAAAAGTTTATTATATAACAGAAAGTAAACATGTCTAAACATATTAATCTTCTTTTAATATTCTGAATAATTGCCATTTTAATTTTTCCGGAACTGAACGAGGTACTAAGGATACTTCTCGTGTTTTTCCATTTTTCATCGTGTTGTAATTCCATAAAATGAGTATACAATTTATGAGGAATTCCCGAATCAGGAAGTACTAACTAAAAGTAAAAATAAATAAATTTAATTTCAAGTTTATGAATAATAAGTATTGATTTAAATATTAAATATTTACATCTTTATTTGCAAAATTTTTGAATTCTTTTACTTGTAAAATTTTTATCAGTTCCAAGTCATTGCAGACTAGATAAGGCTTGGCTCCGAAGAAAAATCTAAAATATATTTATAATCAGACATAATTACATTTCCAGTAAATATATATAGGATATATTTATATGCTTTACTGTAAATTTTTACGCTTTAATAAATAAGTAACTATTGATAATTTTTTTCTCTTTAGACACCAAAATGTAACAATTAATGAATTGATTTATAAATAATTAAAGGAAACATCTCATTAGAATTTATAGATCTTAATTCAAGAAATTCAACATTTTTGAATAATATTTTAAATATTGTAACATTATCGACAGGTCTTATCTATCATAACCAGAAAAATGTAAATTGAGAATAAGTACAGTAAAATAATATTGAGATTAGAAAAGTTTTATATTTACAATAAAAGTAATTTTTAATCATTTATACCTGAGTTATAAATGATAATTATAAATAAATAATTTCTTTGTTTGCAATAAAATAATATTACCCAAATATATTTCCATATTGTTGCAACCATTCGTCTATACATTTGTTTCTCTATATGAAATAAATAAAAAAGAATATGTAAAAACGTTCTGTGTTTGCAATATATTGAGTTTTGGTTGTACCTTTTCGTGAAATTCATTCATATTTCCAGTAATGAAATTAGGTTTCGGACCCGGAATGCCATATCTTTGGAATAAATTCATTTTCCCCTTTCTCCATCTGTATAAAATATGAGTTTATTATTGTATATTTTTATTAATTAAAATCATAAAGAAGAAACTATATTTTATAATAGTAAGATGAATTATACAACCTATAAAGGAATGATAATGAATATAATTACTAAATTCATGAATGAACTATTCACAAACACTAACAAAACTTCGTTATACTTAACATTCTCCCGTTATTTATTTTACATAGGAGGCAACCTAAACTATTTTACATTTTAAATTAAAAATTAAAACTTTAAATTGTTTATTATTTAAATTTAATTTTAGAATTATTGAATTCTTACCTTATCCATGAAAAAATTATACAAACGACAATAGATAAAAGCAGAAGAGCATTAAAATACATTTTTCTTTTAAGGTAACGAATAAAACCTTGTCCACATTCAAAGAAACACGTAACGATTGATAAATATTTCAAGGTTATACAATTGACGTCACACGGTTATATAAAATAATCATTTTACTTATCATTAAATGATAAAAATATTTAAAATATAATATTATTTATTAAAAATTATAATATTTTCTGTACAGTTTCAATATTGTTTCAACTTATCTTACAATCTATAGTTGTAAGAAATTATTTTTATATTTTATTAAACATTTGACTATATGAAAAATTTCTCTTTTTACACGTACATATTAATTATTTATGAATTATGTATGTTGTATAACATATATTATCAACATATGATACAGCAGATTATGTTATATAACATTGGCAAAATAATCCTCTCTTCATTACACAAAATTTAAACTAATATACAGTATTTTAATCAATAGATGTTTAGAAGTTTAATAATTATGCTCATAAGTTTAATAATGTAATATATTTTATGATTTTGTTTTTATTACTGTTATTATTACCATTGTTCTTGTTCTTGTAATTAAACGTCTTATAATTACAGTAGAACCTCGATTATCCGGACTAATTGGGGATGAAGGTAGTCCGGATAATGAAAAATTCGGATAATCGAAAACAAATGAAATGTGTTGTATTATCATTAAAAGACAAATTAAAGTCTTAATTTAATCTTTAATTTGTCTTTTAATGATAATACAACACATTTTCTTTTCGATGACATATCGGTAATATTAAAAGTAAATACTGTATTTAAATTGTGATCAAATTTTCAAGAAACAAACGTTCGTATTTAATTTCGACTACTACTGACCAACGCTAACAAATTACCTATTGTTTAAAAGGTCCTCTGGTGGCGCAAGAAGATGGATTTTATAAAATAAAAAGCAGTTGAAACTGCATTTTTATGAATAAAAATTTGACAAACTATTTATTGTTTTATGACGAGTAAAATTTTTTCGTTGCGTTCGCGGCTTTTAAGTAATGCGTAAACCTTCGAAACACGAGGCCCTTTGGACCGCGAGGCATAGGCGGTGGCCCATGTTGCTCATGCCTTACGCCGCCCTTGGTCATAGAAATGATGTAATTTGAAAATAAATTTTTTTATAAATACGTATGTCAAGTTATATTTTTATTACGGTCACTGTGCCGGATGAGATGTTGTTGAAACAAAAAATTATGCATTCCATCACGTACATAAACAGTATCGTAATTCGCCAAGTGCAAATCAGCAAATTCGTAAAATTTTTGTTTATTTTTAACAATCCGGATAATAGAGGTCCGGATAATCGAGGTTCTACTGTATATGATTGAATTAAAGTAGCCCCCTATAACGCTGTTGATAATTCCGTGTTATATGAATTCCATGTTGTACGAGTCACTTAGATTTTACAAATACGTGAGCCGTTCACAGCCCGGCACACGTATTTGTAAAATCTAAGTGACTCGTACAACATGGAATTCATATAACACGGAATTATCAACAGTGTTATAGGGGGTCTACTGTATTTACAATATAATAATGCTTCTAAGTGACAAACAGTAAGTAAACAAACCAATAGTAAATTCCGTTTTATATGAAACAGACTATGCTATTTGTTTACTTAGCTGCTTGCTACTTATAAAAATCACTATAAGTTAATTAAACGAATTAATTAATTTGCAAAAATATTATGTTAATGAAACTTTTAAACATATTTTTAACTTATTTAATTTAAAATATATGCTCTACAACTTAAATTAGTAGTGGCTTGCCCCTATTTATCGTACTTTTCCATTAGCAATGGAGTCGTGCCCAATCATCTATCTAACTCCTTTCAGGAGGAAAGATTTGAATTGAAATAACGTGATTTCTGGTTTGCACCGGAAGTTCGAATATAGTTAATTACGTCTTTTGCATCTATACTTTCCACATCTGGTTTCGAATTTCATCTAACTAGTTCTATTCTCAAGATTAAGGAATGACAGACAGACGGACGAACGATAGTGGGCATTTATAGGTCTACAATTTTTTCAAGTTGCAGTCCAACAACAAAAATCATTGAAAAAACGAAATACGTTTATCACATTAACAACATTAATGTGTAAAATAAAAATTAATACGAGCAAAACATTGTTGTTAGATTGATATTAGAAGTTGCAAATTTACCGATTTGTAAATATATTCCAGTTTGTCAACTAAAATGATTTTTGCGCTGTAGGCGTTGCGGATTAAGAAAGAAATTACATTGAGAAAATGTCTAGCATAGTGCTGTATTATGATACAATTTAAATATTTATTTAAATATTGTGAAGTAATAATTTAAAAGATAAATGAAGTAAACTACTTTTACGGTTTAAATAACATTTAAACCGTAAAAGGGATATGGATGCATGTAAAAATGTATACAAATAAACATTTGGCTTCAAAAATTATTACGTGTTTACCTGTTTTTTTTAACCGAATTTAGTGGTAAATATATTTACCGATTCATATTTATACCATTTTATGACAATACTTATCTAATTACTTAGCTAATGCAATTTAAATTATTGATAAATTACATTGATTAAGAAATTAGATAGGTTTTGTCATAAAATTTTAGATTTTTAAGAAATGTATTTTGATTTATATAATGAAATAAATAAATCAATTTATTAAGAAATAATAAATAAAAATGCAAACGATGAAGTTTATATAAGTGTGATATTGAAAAAATTAATATTATTTATGTGAATAGTCAAACAGTTAATTTTTGAATTAGCCTACTTTTAGTTTTCGTGTTATCAATCGAGTTAGTTATGTACAGTACCATTAAAATAGTAAACAAATCTGAAAATTCAATTCAATATAGAAACATTTCTAAACGTTCTTCAATTAAATTAAATTATTTCAAGTTTGCTAATTATGATTATCGACTTAACAGGTTCACTTTTAACACATAATTTTCAAATAATTAAATGTTTTAATCAGTCATATTTTATATATGCCTATCTCTCTATCAATTAGAATGCAATTTTGTGATTTTGATTAAAATCATTATTTACTTTACTTAAATTATTGAAACTTTCAAATTATTTTTTAGACATTAGATGAAGTTTAATTCAATAAATATTTAACAGTTTTAATGTAAAGTAATAGCATGCTGGCCAAGCGAATTTAATAACATGTTTATTGGTTGTGAGATGTAAAAATATTAACCGCTCCTTAAATATAAACAATAAAACTACAAAACATTTTCTCACTTCTTTTTCTGTTTCCGCACAGGATTCTTCCACGTCTGAACTTGGAAGAACATCGTTTTTAATTAGCATGAAATCGGTTAATTTGTTAACCATTTGTCTTTCATTGATTTCGTCTTTACTTTTATTATTTTCTGAGAAAATAATTTTATAATTTAAACTTCAATCGTTTCTTTATTAAAAATTATAATTCTGTCATTAAGTATATATAAAATATTAAACAACAATAAAATAAAACAGACACAAAAATTTCATTTGTAATTATGATGTCATAATCATAAATTTATTTATTTTATTTTGCATTTATGTACTTTATAGATTATATGTATACTTCATATGCAAAGAACTTTTGTCAAATTGATTTGTTTCCTAAAATAAAATCTTTCCATTTATATATTTGATAGATGTTTATTATCAAATATGTATTAATAATTCCGTTTCAAATAATTATGAGCAGTGTCTACATCAAGTATAATTAGATGAAAATCAACTTTTAATTACACAAATAAATACTAGATAGATTAAACTTGAATTATAATATACAGAATATGTGTTAAAATATTGTCTGTTTTCCAAATTCGAATTACTTAATTTCTAAGTTAACGTCACATGAATAGTTTCTGAGATAAATTAATAAATTAATGTTCTATCAATTTATACGTTATGGAATTCAAATTGGTAGTTAAAATGGTGACAAAACAATTAAGAAAATATTTTTGATTAGAGCAAAGTTCGTTTATAAATTTAAGAAAGTTCTAGAAGTATTACTTCAATTTGTACTTTTCACAAATATAATAAAAAATTAAAGCAAACAGCCGTTAAAGACAGAAAATGTGCAATTAATACAGTATTAAGTTTGAAAATATATTAAAAACATTTTCAGAATTACTTTTATATTTAAATCCTAACAAGTATTAAAGAAGGATAATGAATAATGTTGACTTATTGAAAGAAAGAGAAAATCAAACGTAATGTAGCGAAATTTTGTGATCTTACCTTCTTTAATTTTTTTTAATCCAATTGCATCACCGCAGACATTTTCTTTAAGCCGTGAAGCATTCTTATTTAATTCAAATTCAGTTTTATTGAACTGAATTTTTTAAAAATCATTTTATAATATTTCTTGGCTTGTTTCAGGTAATAATTGAAGCATTTCTTCTTCAAGTATCTTTCTAGATTCATTCAATGTAAAAAATTTGTCTATACAGTACATCCTTTGCATTCTGAGACAGCCAATTCGCCACAGACGGTAGACATTTCGTCTATTTTTATCATTAAATTTGAATTGCATTGTTCAATTTGAGAACCAGTTAATTTTGAACTGATTGATAGTGACTCACAAACAGATAATTCGAGTCGAGGTGTTAATACATTTCGTTCGACATTATATTCTTCTAGTATTTCGTTTGTATTCTCGTTGTTAGAAACATCATCTTCACTCGAGATCATATCTGACTCGATGCTATATTCACTTTCCGACAAATCGTCTGCAGTCAGGCTCCTCTTCTTCATATATAATTTCTGATACTAAAGAGTATTTCTCAAGTTCCATGAATGCTCTATATAACGGTCGAAATGTATAGCCTTCATTTACAATTGTAGTGATTTCCTCTGGAGACAGAGAAGCCTTTGGGATGTTCTTCTGAAAAATAAGATTTGAAATTATTTCTTAGATATTAAATGAAGTTTAATTCAATAAATATTTAACAGTTTTAATGTAAAAATAGCATGCTGGCCAAGCGAATTTATTAACATGTTTATTGGCTCGTTAGAGTGAATAAAACATCCATCAGGAACGATATTACTAAAATCGTAATTTTTAAATTTTAGCCCACAAAATAATAGAAATTTAAAACACGATAAATAATATTTTATTGTTCTTATTTTTCTTTCTGCTTAAAGAATTATCTTTAATCTTTACATAATTTATTAACAATCACATTTTTCGCATTATAAATCTTTAGACATATAACTTTGATTCATGGACATTTCTATTCTAATCAAAGTTTCGTATGTAATAAATTAAGCTATCGTGTGAACTTAAATGTATCTTTCAAATTTGAAAACGTTTTTCACTCTTATTTAGAACTGGCGATTACGCTGTCTTAATTAGTGCTTTCACTTCACAATTATCAATAAATTCTTTTTTATTTTTACAAGTAAATAATTACAGCGAGTATTTTATACTTTGTTAGCATATCAATTTTAAATATCACAGAACGAATAAAATTATACAAGAAACATAATGTATACCTAATTTAAATGCAACGTTTTTAAACAATATTTAGTATCCAAATAACAACAACTCCAAGCCCGAATAGTATACTAACTTGCCAAACGATCGCCTAAATATCGGGCTAATATATGTCTACTTAAATGATTAGACTAAAGCAATTTGTCATAAGAGGTAGGCGTTAGGCGCCATCTCGTAAGTAAATTAATAATTAAAATTAAATAAATAAATAATTAAATTAAATTTAGAACCTTCTGGAATAAAAGAACTGGCCCGGGACGGGGCTTGAACCCGCAACCTCCGCTTGCCGTGCCGTGCGCTATCAGTTATGCCACCCGGACCCCGAGCAAGCCTTTGCTTCCAGAGGTATATTAGATTAGATATAACCTTACTTGGTTAAATACATCACTGACTGGGGACAACTTCATCGCCCACGACCCTCAATGGCACTCAGCCAGCTAACATAACACCTGGCGAGGTATATATATATATAACAACAACCCAAAGCCCGAATAGTATACATACTAAATTGCCAAACGATCGCCTAAATATCGGGCTATTATATGGCTACTTAAATGATTAGAAATAAAGCAATTTGTCATAAGAGGTAGGCGTTAGGCACCATCTCGTAAGTAAATTAATAATTAAAATTAAATAAATAAATAATTAAATTAAATTTAGAACCTTCTGGAATAAAAGAACTGGCCCAGGACGGGGCTTGAACCCGCAACCTCCGCTTGC